AGTAAAGAGGCTGGTGCTCCAACTCGAAGGAAACTAAGGGCGATGGTCATGGGGATGGATAGAAATAGATGTCTTTGAGAGAGATTTAGGTGATTGAAATAAGATTTGGTGATTTAACATAAATGTGAGGGGACAAAAGAAGATTCTAGGCCTCTGGCTTGGAGAAAAATAACTCTAATAAGTTGGAGATTTTGTTGTTATTGTTGTTATTTAATTTGTAAACTTAGAGGAATAGAAACATATTACTTTGTTTTTTGTGTGCCATATAGAATTTACGAACCTGGAGAAGAGAGAGATAATTTAGGAAATCATAATCTGACTTACCAGCAACAGTATTGACTTGGAATATAATATGGCCTTTTTATAAAACGTGTGCAAATAAACTTATTTTTGGCCACCAGAACTTTTAAAATGCAGCGTGTGCCCTTAAAATAGGGCTTCTTGTGGACTTGTCAATATATTCTCTGGCTTTAGGGCATTTGAAGTGTATAAAATATAGTGGATTTTTTGAGCAGTCCGCTATGATATACATACATTATATTGGACACACAGTTTATATAAGTCCACTGTGATATACATACATTACATTGGACACACAGTTTATATAGTCTAGAGGAAAAGGTATGAAGCACAGGGTAGAGGATTCAGTTCAGGCTCCTCAAATAACTGGTCTGGACTTCAGTTTCTTTTCCTGTAAGATAAGGTAGCATGATCAGATTACTAGTAATATCCTGTTTACTCTCAGTTTGCTCCAAGTATCTACTATGAATGAATATTTGAATGTATACATATATAAATACACATATGTACACATATACGCACATATATACACGTAGAAATGTCATATGGCAACTTCAAATTTTCCTAAACATTTCACACCAGTGAAGTTTTTATTTTTCGTTTCAATTTTTTTGTGGTTTTCTTCATCTTATATTGTAGTATTTATCTACCATTATGTTTCTTTTCTGGGTAAAAAAATGTAGTATTTTCCTTCTGTCAGGGATTTTTCTCTCTGAAATTAACTTATGAGACATGAGGGCACCAGGGCACAGCACTGTGTCTGGCATCTTTCAGTGTGTCCTCTGCCTTTTTGGACTCCTGTTTATTTACAGGGTGTTCTTGTTTACCAAACATGTCTGCACATTCTAAGGAATCTAGAAATATGTATAAGGAAATTAGATGAGTATCATAAATATTTGATGTTCCAGATGATCCTCCAAAAGTATCTCTAAGTTACCGTGCAGTTCAAGCATAGGGAAAATTCTTTCAGCTTCGTAATAGAGACACATAAATTCTTAGCAAATATTTTTTTCTTCTTCTTTTGTTCCCCAGCATACCCTATCTATAGGAGAACAACAAACTATTGCCTTTTGAGCAACCGGTGATCCAGTGGTAAATTATTCCCAACTTTTGATTCTCCTTATTTTATTTTTCTTCCTTTCTCCTTTCTATATTTGATACCCACTGGTATTTCTATAAAGATTGGGCAGGATGAAATCCAGACCAGTTTCACTTGATATTTTAAAAAAGGTTTACACTGGCAGCAATTTTTACTGTCCAGTTAAAGGACATGTAGAAATTACTTGTATGTGTTGTTCATACTATCAGTGTCCCATGAGTTTCTTCTGTGTAGAATCTGCTGCATCACCAAAGAGATAAAAAATGCAACTGTGCATGTACAAAGATAATGACTGCTCATTACCACCTGGCCAGCACATATTTTTATCAAGGCTCAGTTTTCAAAGTTGATCTGAGGATAGATGAAAAAATAAAAATAAAAAGCTCAAAAGCATGGGAATAGACTTAAGCAATAAAAAATCAGAGAGGTTAAGTTTGGGCCGGATAACAAGGGGCTTCAATTAAAGGGTTTATTTGCTTGAAATACCAACCTCTCAAGCATCCCTTATGTCTTCATGAGGAAAGGTTTTACTGATTACACATGCTAACATCTCATTAAGAATGGAACATAAGGAAGATAAATTACAGAGTCAAAAGGTGAACAAGGTAAGTGGAGGCCACAGTTAACTAAATGCAGGTCCCTTGATTTGTGTGTGTGTGTGTGTGTGTGTGTGTGTGTGTGTGTGTGTGTGTGTGTTTTGTACCATGTATACAATGTAAGTAGACTAACTTGCTCAGGACCAGATACAAACTAGGGATAAAAACACTGGCCTAGAGTGACCACGTGAGTATTGATTGGGAGTAATAGTAATATAGTGCTAGACTGTTTAGTGCTCAAAAGTCTAAAAATGTCAGGAGTATAGCATTTTTGCAATGTAGCAATCATACTGAGTTATAATATTTTTGTTCTTTTCCCTAGAAATAAGTACTAAGACAGAAATTTAAACTCTTGTCTAATTAGGAGATATTATTGGGGTAGATGTGTGAAAGAAGACAAGAAAATCTCTAATAAGATTTTTGAAAACTAACAGTTTGAACTTATGTGTAAAAATATGTTGTATTTGTCAGTCAGACTCCTACAGTATTTGCCATTTAGAGATATTACTGATAATAAGATCCACTGTACTTACCCCAGTCTTTAAATTCTTAAGTGATAATTTGGTTAGTTGAGATGTTATTACTTAGTAAACATATAGCATCAACCTGGCTTGCAATAATGGACTAATTTACCCATAGCGAAGATACAGGCAGTCAAGAGACACAGAGGAGAGAGATTGTGGGGTGTTCTACATGGCTCTCCAAATCCTTTCTTCCCACATTGGACACACACACTCTGTCTTTAAGGAAAGTTTTATTGGTTTACCCCACAGGTAAACACAGGAGATAAAAATATCTCCATTTTTACTCTAGAAAGTGCAAAGCTTTGGGACATTTTTCTGGCAGCCATAAGCAATTATTCTACAGATCCTGAGTTTATTTACTACACAGGACATCCTGCTAAGGACTTTTATAGATACAGACTCTTTTTCCTACTAAATATTACTAGTGTCTACCTGGAGGTCTAGTTGACAAAGGCAACCTCCTTTCTTTTTTTTTTCTCCCCCTGGCCTGCACCACTCACCTCCTCAACACGTGTAACAGGAGAAGAAGTGGATGGGATTTTAGACCAGTTGCTTTAACACTTTTTTCCCCCAATTACTAATCAGTGAAATGTAATTGAGTCAAAATTTGCAAAAACCATTCCCAAAAACATGTTAAGATTTAAGCATGTAATGAAATTTTGAAACCTTAGGGTTGCAAACTAGCTGAAAAAGATCAGGAAGATCTGGAAGAACTGGAAAGTCTTTAAAATTAAAGAATGAAATAATCATGTAGAAATCGTGATGGTGATGATGATAGCAATTAAATTCTCACCACTTTTCAAGCACTTCTCTATATTCTTTATGGGTATGGTTTTATAAAACACATAATAATCTTCTGGGGTAGGCACTATTATTTTACCATTTAACAGATGTAGAAACTGGGGCATAGATGAAATTAAATGACTTAGCAAGGTTCACCAACAAGTAGATTCTGCCACCATTTATCAAATTTAGGAAGCCCGACTCCCAAATCCATGGTATTAACATAATCATATATGAGAAGAGCATAGACATATCAAATCCAACATATTTTTATTAATAAAACTAGATAATAAAAGAGAAGCTGGCTTGTTAAAAAATACTAGTGGTGGGGTGCCTGGTTGGCTCAAACAGTTAAGCATCTGACTTCAGCTCACGTCATGATTTTGCAGTTCCTGGGTTCAAGCCTCATGTCGGGCTCTATCTATGCTGACAGCTCAGAGCCTGGAGCCTATTCGGATTCTGTGTCTTCTTTTCTCTCTGCCCCTCCCCTGCTTGTACCCTGTCTCTCTCCTTCTCTCAAAAATAAAATGAAAACATTTTTAAAAAATTAAAAAACAATAGTGGAGAATCAGTTTTGTTGATTATCGCTGTGGCAAAAATGAAGTAAATACTGAAATTAATGAGTAAACAAAGGTTTATTGAATATCTGTTTTGAATGTAGTGTCATATGATGGCCTACAAGACACAGATGAAATAGAAGTTGTAGCAAATAGCATAAAACCTGCTAAAAAAGACTGGAAGTTGAGTTAGAAGATACGGCAAATGAGATATACTTAAGTATCAGCATCAGAGAGGTGATAATTGAAGCAATTTTCAAACAGATAATTTTTCCAAATAAATGTGATTATCAGGCTAAAATTCTAAGTTAAAATGCTTTAGTATAGGAGTGATTTGGAATATGATTTTCATTTGTAAAGTTCTAAATAATGTGAAGGCATATAAACTAAACTGAGAAGAGTGGTAAACAAGAATGAGAGAAGTATGACCTACATTGCCATCTGTTGGGGAAATGAACATCTGTCACGTGGAATGAAAGATGAAGTTTGGAAATTCCCAATGAATCTCAACAGCCAGCATTACTATTTAAGAGCAAAAACAGATTTCAAGCCTAATTTAGCTTTTTAATTTTTTTTTAATTTGGAAAAGATATTTAAAGAAGAAAAAAAAATGTCTCCAATCAGTTAGAAACCATGGCTTTTAAGATTCCCAGATACAATTTTAGATCAAATTAGAATAGAATTGTGCTAGAGAAAGAATATTGTCAAAACTTATCTCCAGAGTACATTTTATGCTCTCCAGAAGCATCTTGTTTTCTGACTAATGAATCTGTGCATTTCATAAGATATGGTGACAAAAATCCAACCCCAGAATTTAGTCTCAGTTCTAACATGGTGTCATTTTGAGTAGTCATTTCACTCTTTAGATCTAAATTCCCTTGTTTATAATGTGGATGAGATTGGATTAAGTTATTCCTGAGGTTACCTTTCAGTTGCTCTCCTATTTATTATGTGCACCTATTTTTAAAAAGCCTGTTAAAAATTGCGTGCTTGATATATTGATTGTATAGATAGAAATAGTGTTCCTACAGCTACTTTTTCTCCTTCTTTTCCACCCCTCTTCCTCATTATTAGTATTGTTGTTGTTGTTGTTATTTTACTTCTTCTGAAATCTTACATCAGTATCTTTTCTCTCCTTTAGGGTGGAGTCAGTGGGTTGACTGGAGAGCTAGAATTTGGAGATAATGGAGGAAATCCCAATGTCCACTTTGAAATTCTTGGAACAAACTATGGAGAAGAGCTTGGCCGAGGTGTTCGCAAAGTAAGACTAGACACATTGATAAATGTTTTTTTTTCCTAAAGCAGCTATAATTTTGTTTGATTTTACTCCATGCAATATGGTTACAGTAGGTATTAAAGTTCATATTGTAGTTTGACAGAGAAGGGGAAGGGGAGAATTACTCATTTAAATGACGTTAAATACTTATCAGAAGTATTAAGCAATACACTCCATTTATGGCCTAGAATGATTAAAGGAAAAAAAGTAATCTAATGGTTTCCTAGGGAACTAGCATCATCTTCTATTCATTATAATAATTTTTATAAAATAGTGGATTTAATATTCATAGAATGCATATCTTCTTGGTTTTTAACTTGTAACATGCACAAAATCAGAATGAGAGCTTTGATAAACTTCATATAGTAAGAGGAAAGTCTACTCTAAAAAGTGACCTCACAGGAATTCAAATTCTATCCTTGTCATGTAATAAGTAGAAAATGATTTGTAGGAAATTCGCTCTTGTTCTGTACCACAGACCACATGTAAGAAGGTGAGTGATAATAAGGGATGTTTTATGAACTACTGGTACAATAGCTTTCTCAAGGACAAATATAAAAGGCCCTGTAGAAATTACTTGTCTATAGTTGGGATTTGCCATTTTTTATATATTTTTGGTAGGAAAAAATCTAAGATGATTGAGTGCACTTCCAGGGCTCACTGTAAATTTCTAACTGTATAAAGGTGGCTGAATTGAGAATAAGAGGTTCTTCCGTAGGTGTTTCTCTCCAGTGCTGACATGCAGGCTGCACAGAAATATAGACAAAACAAAGTTAGGAGTTATATTCTAATCCGCAGTAAAAATTTGCCAGTAAACTTATGCTAGAGAGGAGTAGAAACTACGCTAATGTGTTTTTAATTATTGTTTCATATGAAATGTAGGAGACATAAAAACTGCGTAAAACACAATGAGAGTTTATTGAATTATTTTAAAGGAAACACCACTACTATGGTCAAGAACTATAACATATCAAGCATCCTAAACACTCCCACAGACTTCTCCCTGATACATCCCTGACCCCTCTTCTCACCAGTATAACCATCAGTCTGAATTTTATGATACTCATTTCTTTACATTTTAAATACAGTTTTATCACTATCTGCATCCTTAAATAACATAATTGAATTTTGCCAATATTTCAGTTTATGAATGGACTCAATATTGCATATATTCTCTTTTCTTGCTTCTTATGTTCAACATTCTGTTTGTGTTATTCATTTTTGTCATTACATGTAGTTGTAGTTTATTTCTATATTGCTGTATTGTTTTCTACCACGTGAATGTGTCACAATCAACTGTGGGTGTCTATCCATTTTTAGATTATTACAAGCAAAGCTGTTATAAATATTCTTAGACATATATCTTGGATATATACTCTAGAACTTGTGCGTATATTTCTGTGGGTTTGGAGTAGAATTTCTTAATACAAGGAAGCATATTGGGGCACATGGGTGGCTCAGTCTGTTGAGCATCCAACTCTTGATCTTAGCTCAGGTCTTGATCTTAGGGTTGTGAGTTCAAGCTCTGTATTGGGCTCCAAGCTTGGCTTAGAGCCTACATAAATATGTATATATCTATATATCTATACACACATCTATATATATATATATACACACATCTATATATATACACATATACACACACACACATATATATATACACATCTATCTATCTATATACGTATACACATATATATGAAAGCATATCTTGAATTTTACTGTATAACCTCAAACCCATTTTCATAGAGATTTGCTAATTTTCATAACATCAGCAATGCAATGATTTCTCGTGGCCCTGTCTTCTCACCAAATTTTGGTTTCATTAGACTTCAATTTTTATTAAGTTGTTTGGTATATAATGATGTATCTTCATGGTTTCAATTTTTGTTTCAGTGATTATATAAAGGTTCTGTATATTTTCTTATACTTTTTGGCACTTCAGCTTTCTTTTGGAATTAATTGCCTGTTCAAGTCCTTTGTACCTGTTCCTTTGGGTTGTCTTTTGTTTTTATAATCGATTCTAGGAGCTATAAATATATATATTTAAGTGGTTACTTAAATTCCATTTATTTTCACAGTCTCTTAACTCTAGAGAACAAACTGAGGGTTCCTGGATTGGAGGTAGGAAGGGGGAAGGGTTAAATAAGTCATGGAAATTAAGGAGGGCATTTGTTGTGATGAGCACTGGGTGTCGTATGTAAGTGGTGAATCACTAAATTCTCCACCTGAAACTAATATTACCCTGTAAACTAACTGGAGTTTAAATAAAAACTTGAAAAAAGAGTATTTCCCTGAAGACCCTGGGGCAAGTAGCCCCTGCGATGGTAAAGTTGACTCTTTTCCCATCACCTAGCAAGAAAAGAAAAAGAAAATCCTCTTGCCTATCAACACCGGTGCCATTATCCTCTATCAATATCCACCCTCCCTACTAGGGACTTTTACTTTTGCACTGGCAGCTGGAAGTCAGCTCTTAGTTGCCAAAGCCTTCTCTCCTAACTACCAACACTTACAAAGGTACACCTTAAATAAATTTGGAATTCATTTCTTTCATGACCCCTTGCATTCAACAGTAGTGTGATTAATTTATCATTGATTTGGAGTATGTTAATTCTTTTTTTATCTGTTTGTTTCAAGTTTTTATTTAAATTCTAGTTAGTTAACATATAGTGTAATTTTTGTTTCAGGAGAATTTAATGAGTCATCACTTACACCCAATGCTCATTAGAACAAGTTCCCTCCTTGGTACCCATCACCCATCTAGCCCATCCCCCCACCCACCTCCCCCCCCCACCAACAACCATCAGTTTGTTCTCTGTATTTAAGAATCTCTTATAGTTTGCCTCCCTCTCTCTTTTTTTTTCCTCCCCATATGTTCATCTGTTTTGTTTCTTACGTTCCTCATGTGAGTGAAATCATATGGTATTTGTCTTTCTCTGATTTATTTCACTTAGCATAATATACTCTAGCTCCATTCACGTCACTGCAAATGGCAGGATTTCATTCTTTCTGATGGCTGAGTAATATTCCAGTATGTATATATATCACCTCTTCTTTATCCATTCATCAGTCAATGGACATTTGGGCTCTTTCAATAATTTGGCTACTGTAGATAATGCTGCTATAAACATTGAAGTGCATGTGCCCCTTTGAATTAATATTTTTGTATCCTTTGGGTAAATACTTATTAGTGTGATTGCTATATCATAAGGTAGTTCTATTTTTAACTTCTTGAGGAATTTCCATACTGTTTTCCAGAATCACTATACCAGTTTGCATTCCCACCAATAGTACAAGAGGGTTCCCTTTTCTCCACATGCCCTCCATCACCTGTTGTTTCTTGTGTTGTTGATTTTAGCCATTCTGACAGGTGTGAGCTGATGTCTCATTGTAGTTTTGATTTGTATTTCTCTGATGATGAATGATGTTGAGCATCTTTTAATGTGTCTGTTAGCCATTTATATGTCTTCTTTGGAAAAATGTCTACTCATGTCTTCTCCCCATGTTTTAATTGGATTATTTGTTTTTTAGGTGTTGAGATTTTGAAGTTCTTTAAATATTTTGGATACTAACTCTTTATCAGATAATATCATTTGCAAATATCTTCCTTCATTCCATAGGTTGCCTTTTAGTGTTTTTGATTGTTTCCTTCATTGTGAAAATTTTTGTTTTGATGAGGTCCCAATAGTTTATTTTTGCTTTCATTTCCTTTACCTGAGAAGATATATCTAGAAAGAAGTTGCTCCAGTGAGTATCAAATTGGTTACTGCCGATTTTTTCCTCTAAGATTTTTATGGTTTCAAGTCTCACATTTAGGTCTTTAATCCATTTTGAATTTACTTTTGTGAATGGTGTAAGAAAGTGATCTAGTTTCATTCTTTTGTATATTGCTGTCCAGTTTTCGCAACACCATTTGTTGAAGAGACTTTTTCCCATTGGATATGATCATTCTTTCCCGCTTTGTCAAAGATTAATTGGCCATATAGTTGTGGGTTCGTTTCTAAGTGTTTCATTGATCTGTGTGTCTATTTAGTGCTGATACTACACTGTTTTCACCACTACAACTTTATAATTTAATTCAGAGTCTGAAATTGTGATTCATCGAGCTTTGCTTTTCTTTTTCAAAGTTTCTTTGACTATTAGGGGTCTTTTGTGGTTCCATACAAATTTTAGGATTATCTGTTCCAGGTCTGTGAAACATGCTATTGGTATCTTGATAGGGATTGAATTATATATGTAGATTGTTTTGGGGAGTAGAGACAATTTTTAAATGTTTATCTATTTATTTTTGAGGGGTGTGTGTGTAAACAGGGGGAGGGGCAGAGAGAGAGGAAAGAGAGAATTCCAATGAAGGGTTTGATCTCGTGAACTTTGAAATCATGACTTTAGCCAAAATCAAGAGTCACACGTTTAACCCACTGAGCCACCCAGGTGCCCCTGGGTAGTATAAACATTTTTACATTATTTATTCTTCCAATCCATGAGCATGGAATGTTTTTCAATTTCTTTGTGTCATTTTTAATTTCTTTCATCAGTGTTTTATACTTTTCATATTACAGGTCTTTCACCTGGTTCGGTTTATTCCTAGGTATCTTATCGTTTTGGGTACAGTTGTTAATGGGAGTGATTCCTTAATTTCTCTTTCTGCTGTTTCATTATTGGTGTATAGAAATGCAGATTTCTATATTTAAGATTTCTGTACACTGACTTTTGTATACTGAGATTTACTGAATTCTTTTATCAGTTCTAGCAGTTTTTTTTTTTTGTACAATCTTTTGGGTTTTCTATATAGAGTATCAGCAAACAGTGAAACAGCAAACTATTTTCTGCAAACAGTGAAAGTTAACTTCTTCCTCAGTGACTTAGATGCCTTTTATTTCTTTTTTTTAATTTTTTTTTTCAACGTTTATTTATTTTTGGGACAGAGAGAGACAGAGCATGAACGGGGGAGGGGCAGAGAGAGAGGGAGACACAGAATCGGAAACAGG